AAACCCACACATTTCTGTCTTTGAATCAAGCTTTCATGGGAGCCTGGCCTCCCCTGGGTATAAGCTTATTTCGAAGTTGCAAAGGTCCTCCGGGTGACCCCAATAAAAAGAGCTTCAATGACCGTGGTAAGGTTAAGTTACTCCTTTTAGGAAGATGGTTTTGTCCATGAACTTTTTTCTACTTTGTCCCAAACATTTTTTTGTATCTTAGAATTTCTCTTTTTGTGCCCATGCTGTACTTACCTAATTATTTGCACTTGCACTATTGAGTTTCTCAATGACTAAGCTCACATTTAAGAAAGTGAAGATCTCGATATTAGTTTGATTATTCAGAAAGTTTAAGCAGAAAAACCAGAGAGTTCATCTCAGAAAGTTGAAAGGCAAGCATCCTGAATTCTATGAGTCCCTAACATTCTTGATAATCACATAACCTGAAAGAGTTTAAAATATCACCGAAACTTCATCACCACACGTTCCGAAGTGAACTCCTCGGTAAAGGAGGAAATTTTATTTTACCTCATTATTTTCTTTGTGCAGAACCAGAGTTACCTTCACTATAGAGCAATGGAGAAAGCCTTGCCTGTCATTTTTAATCAGGTTGTTTTAGGTAATTTTTGTTATGCCCCTCATTACTGAATTGTTTATCAATAGGTGCAGCAAGTGTCACTAGCTTTTCTCATCAAACCAGGTCTGACAAAGCAGCACAGTGCATGGGAAAGAGGCAGCTAGGTGAAACTAATGCCATAGATGTTTGATTCATTAGGAGCTTATTGTTAACGGGGATGTCTGATTGTAAAGGCTCAGTCAAGCAAAAGAGTGCAGAGTAATCAGTCGGATTTATAGTTTGCAGGGCTCAGAAAAAAATCAACATAAACCTTTGGATATAGCAGAAACAGAAAAATCCCCTTTGGGCAGCCCTAACCTGGAACCAGCCAAATAAGGTCATGCTACATGAAGGTTTCCTGTTAGGTGATGGGAGATAGAGGCGGATTAGAGCCATATGGCATGGCCTATCATACCTTCTGACTTAAGATAACAAAGCCAAGCTTTGTGCTTAGCTGTTTTTGACTGACATCATCAATTTTATTTTATGTTGGTCACCTCCGGTAACAGGAAAAAATGGCCTAGGGTTGATAACACACGCTTTTTTTTCTTTTAGTATTAAGATGCCTAGAAGCTAGTTTTGTGCTGTTAAAAATTTCAAAGAATTAGTAGCTTGCTCTTCTATCACCCATCCTCCAGCAACTGTCAGCCCCCCTCCCCCTTGTTTTCAGTTTGTACCTTGCAAATGAGAGGCAGCCTTATTCAGAACCAGATGTAAGGCTCCTAGAGAATGAGCATAAGCTGGTGTACTTTAAGCCTAATGGGAAGTTTTATATGCAAGGGCCTTGAACTGATTAGTATAATTCCCTCTTTAATACAGCTGTCCCTCCAGATTAAGGTAAACCAAATGTTGCAATCAGAGATTAGTGTACCTTGCCAGTTATTAACATCCCCGGTGCTCAGCAAGCACGTCAGACGCTAATGCTGTGTATTTATTTGCCACTTCCCCACTGTAACTTGAACTTCTGCACCTGTCAAAGCATTCCAGTGAAGAGAGGGGCATTATTGGAAAGCAAAAGTTTTATACCTGTACACCTGTTTTGTTTTGTCACAGCTTTGCTTTTCTTTGGGCCTGCCAAGACTGCCAGGTGCTTTAATCTGCTACTCTCCTGGTTTTGTAAAGAAAGACTTTGTGTGCTAAATCGCATTTGTTACTTTCATATGCTTTCTTTTATGCAACTGGAGAGCTGCTCCTAAGCTGGTGGCATGCGTGCATGCACGTGTGTGTGCGTGTGTATGTGTGTGTTTTCTTTTACAAAAGAGGTAAAGGGTGAGGTTTCTTTCCCAGAAAACACACCTATATCTTCTGTGTTCCTCAGCTTCAGCAGTGTCCTAAGTCACAAGGTGGGACGCACAGCTGTAATATATTTGGCAGGATATCCTGCCTTCTTGCAACCCAGATGTCAAGAAATACAAAGTCCTGGCTATCAGAAAGATCTGGCTGGCTTTCTTTCCCTCCTCAGCCTCCACCAGGGGCCTGCTTGGACTCTAGGGCTGAATGTATACAAAAACACACTGAAGAAGCCTAGGACAGTAGCTCGGGTTGCGTTTTCAGAAACGTGGGTCTAGTCTTGGCGCTCACCAGTCCTTTTTCAACAGTGTGGCAGATGGGCCCGCTAGTCAGGGAAAATAATGGAAAATTTGAGGAAAAGATCTCACATTTGTTGAATAAAGTGCCTTTGTGATTTTTTTTATCAGCATCTTTTCTTACTCAGAGATTGAGAATCAAAAACTGCTTTCTGTGAAAAAGGCATAGTTTGCTCAGTAACCACTAGGGTCATCTCGGGGTCCAATTTTTTTCATATGTGGGTTTAAAGCACGTAGCTGTGCCCTTACAGAGCAATCACCTGATGCCAGCGGCAGTTGGGCAACACCGGCCCCCCCTAAGTTTTGTCACAGACAGGAAGGAGCCACAGTTTTCTAGCTCACCCACGACATTGGGAGCAGTAACTGGTGCAGGTTGTTATCAGTGCTGGGGGAACATTTCTTTTGCTTGTCCTCCTTTCTCCCAACTCCATCTTGGTGTTTGCACGTTGATTGCCTGGTGCAGTCTCTACATATTATAGCTTAATTGCAGATTTTTTAAAAAGACAAAAATATGTTCATATCTTAGGAATTATGTCTTGCAGCCTACTAAATATGCTAATGCGGCACTAAGCAGGGATAAAGTTCTTGCCATACCCCCTAACAGTTGCGTGGAACCCGCTGCCAAGTGATTGTTAATTGTGAAGCACAAGCAGGCTTTGCAATCCATCTTAATTGTCATACTTACTTCAGGTTTCGTGATAAGGCTCGATGTTCTGTTTAAAGTGACAATGTTGACAAGGGGAAAGGGTGTGGGCCTGAGCCTGTGGTTCTGAAGGGGTTGCGTGCTCTGACCTGCCGAAGGTTGATATGGACGGTCTGCGAGGGGATTTTAGTTGTCATGGGGTCCCCAGGCGGTTGAATGGAGAGACTGTCTGTCCTGCTTTTTCCTGTTAGGATCCTGACACGTGGAGCATTGATGAACTCAGCACAACGTTGAATGGGAGCTTTTTGGCAGCTGAGACACTGGGGCTAAGCTGCAGGTCAGAGATAACACCAGTGCGGATCTCCTCCTGCACACAGTGACTAGCGCGCTTTCTTCCCTCCTGAGTGCAGGAAATGGCTCATGTTAAATACGTTCACTTTTCAGTTTTCCTTTCTTCTAAAATGGAGCTTGACAGATTGGGCTTTTCAGCTCCCCTTTTTTTCACCACCTCTGCTTTCTACCTCAGAAATACTCTTCAGGAAGCAGGAGTTAATCTTGGTGAGGAAACGATAAGGTGAGGCTTGATTTTCAGGGGAAAGCAGAAGGATATGGCTGCCTTGTTGCTGCACATAAACATAGAACTCCCCACCTTTGAGGCTTTTCCCTTCACTGCTCTTCAGTACAGACTAGAAGAGGAACAGAGTCAGAGTCTACTACCCTGACGGACGTCAGAGAGCACCACGCACAATTCTGAGGCATTAGAGCAGAGGAAGGGCACATTTAGGAGGCACTTCTGACTTGTAAAGAGGGGCTCTCCAGTACTTATGTGGCCCCCCACCCAAAGGGTGCGTGGCTGCTGACAGCAAAATGCTCTGCCTTGTTTTCCACGCAGCTGAGTTGTGCAGCTTTCCCAGAGGTGGAGAACAAAGAGACACTGGCCGCAAGAGTTACTTTAATAATCTTTTGCCAACATGCTGTATTCACAAAAGCACTGTAGAAAAAATTCTGTCTAGTTTTAGGATCTGACCTCACTTGGGCTGTCAAAGCTCCGTTTAAAGAAAAGCTATTTGAAATAGATTCTTGCATGGTATTGATTCGAGACTGTGAAACTAATAAATTGAAACCGCCCCAAACCAAGTCGCATTCTGACTTGGGGGTACGTGCGCATGGCCTCAGTGAGGTCTGAGTGGCTCCTTTTCTCTCTTTGAGTACTTGATGCCCTTTGAAGAAAAAGGGATGTGTGTGAGTATAAGGGTGTGTGTGTGTGTGTGTGTGTGTGTGAATGCACATATAGGTGGAGAGGATGGGATGGGGAAAGGGATACATGGTGGAGAGAAGGGCATGGGAATGAGGAAAGCTTTCTGGTCAAGGTTTGATACGCAACAGAAAATAAAAGGGTTGTGGGTGGAAGTGAGAGTAACAGTACAATCCTAGGGCTAACACCTTGGAGCAAGCAGGGTGATGCTGCCCTTTGATCTCTGTCACCTCTCACCAATTCTGGGCACCCTTTCTGTTTCATGAGGGCGCAGAGCAAAGCTGAGAGAGAGAGAGAGAGAGAGGGAGAGAGAGAGAATGAACGAGTGAGATGTATAAGAGCCAAATATGGTGAGTCAACAACCTTGAGGAGAATGATTTGGGTTTGGAACTTCATCAGAATTTGCTCTGATGTGAGGTAGTGGTCCCAGGGCTTCCATAATGAAACAATTTTCCAGTTCTCCCCATCCAATCATACTATGTCGCCTTCATCTTTGAATGATGGGACTAGGTTATTCCTAGACTTATTCTAGACACCTCTCTGGCTACCGCTGGTGGGGGACTTCCAAGGACCTTTGAATTTCCCCAAATTGAACTTTAGAAAGAGTAGCCAGAACTGAACAGCCTCAAGACCCAAAAGAAATAGTGGATGTCACGTGTTCAGTACAGTCACTGACACATAGTAGGTGCTGGGTAAATCCTCACTATTCCTCTTTGAAGAATGAAGCCAGTTGAATCTTCTGTTGAACACTTCCTTTGGCTGTGTTTTCAGTTGTAGCATTGCCTGAGGAAATTGGAGAGCTTGGAGGGGTTCCTATCCTGAATAGAAAGTTTAAGTTTGATTGTATTTTCTATGTGTTTGCTCCAGATCCTGTGTGAAAGTTTGAATTGACCTGAACCATTCTAATCCTAGATATATGTGGCTGATTGTCATTGCCATGAGGTCAGAGGGAGACAGCCGCCTATGCAATGTGATTTCAAGAACCTGGAAAACCCCATGTGTCCTCCAAGTGTCTCCCTCACTAACCATGGCACCTGGTAACATTCTTGATATTTCTGCTGGTAGAGCAATTTCTCTGAGTAAAAGCGTGTTTTCTTGATATCCCTCTTTATTGTGAGATTATGATACTTGCGAGAGGTCAACTTTTGTTAGGTGGATGATGTTGATTTCGTATTTACTGTCTCTGTAACAACTGGAAAGAGAGACACTGGATACGAATGGCAGCTTTGTTAAGAATAATACAACTCCTCAACCACAGAATGGGTCAAGGAGGTTACTAGGTTGGGGTTTGTATTCCCCCAGATAATTTTAGATCAAGACACATAGACAGCAAGAAAGCTTCTAGTCAGCTTTGTGGAATGAATAGAGCTTAATTTTGGGTCCTTTCTTCCTTTGTGACAAGACTTTTCATTTCTGATCACCCTGTGAGAGAAACTGCTTGTTCCCATATTGTCTTGGCTTGTTCAGAATCCTTCCTTTTGAAGATGGTAGATTAGGGATTCTCAAACACTTTTCTACTCCAGAATGTATGTTCACACATTGGACACTTCCATGGGTATGCCTTAATTGTGGTACAATAGTCATTCTATTTCACCCTTTATTTTAAGCATGTCTCCTTTTCCTGACATTCTTTGACGTCCCCTTGGGAAGGCATACTCCTTTATCCTTGTTCATGTTCTCTGTCTTCACATCCCCCATGAGAGGTGCTGCCTGAAATGACACCCTAATTATAGGCGCTTTTTTCCCCACACAGTTTGTTCCTTTGCCCTTTCTCTGAGAGCCTTACTCCCTGGAAATATGTATAAGATGTGTGTATATGTATACGTTGTGTACATGTGTGTGTTTATGCTCACACACATTTATGTGGGTATATATATTTATGATTATTATTATTTTAACAAGAAAGAAGCCCATCCTATGTTTTTTGCAGTAGGTTTTAGGTTAATAGTTGTTTTAACAATGAAGACTGTTAAGTCACCAATGTACCTTCTCTTCTTTGTCTATATAATCTTAATCCTTTAAGTTTTCTTCATGGATCACATGATTTATATCCCTGGCTTTTTTCTTAGCTTAAAAAGTAAATGTATTATTTTCTTTCTGACTGCCTGAGTCTTACATACTTATTGTAGAATGTTTGGAAATACAGAAAATTATGGGTGAGAATAAATTCACCCATCGTTCCACCATCTACAGTTAACCATTGTTACAACTTGATTGTAGTTTTGTACCTCTTGATTTATTGTTTTAGGCATTGAGAATGCATGGGTCACTCTATAATTTTTAAATTGTTTTTCTCTTCCCTTTGCAGACTCTCAACTTTCCAAGCTCTCCCACTCCTTTCATGTTGATGGGTCCCAAGTGAGACTGATGTAGTTCTTTAGTCTCTAAAGCTGGATCTGACTCGTATTCTGGGAAGGTTAGCTCACAGCCTCTCCATACTATATTTTGAACTTCTTAATATGCATTTTCCTCCTCTGAATCAGTGACTTATTTTTTGATCTTTGTTAATGCTTCTTTTCAAGCTTGAAACAAAAGAAATTATCTAAAAATAACCAAAGACTGTTATCCAAGACTTTAAAGTTGCCTGAGCCAATAGGTTGACACCTTTGATCCTTAGGTAGAAAGTTACAGTTCTTTTGTTGGCTTTCTGCAAAAGGAGGAAGTGGGGGCAAATTACACAGTTGATGCTATTTTATGCATGAAGGAACCTGCTGTTGACAGCTAGTAAACAAGTTTCAACATTTTTTGGAGTAAAGTAGCTCATTCATTTAATATTTATTTATTGAGCTACCCTCTACTATGTGGCAGGCTCTGTCCTAGGCAGGGGGATTCAGGAGTAAATAAGACAGACCCAAATCCACCCTTGTGGGAGCTGACTACTTAAAAATAAAGTAGGTGACCTTTTTTGCTTTTGACTTAAATTCCCACTTGAAAAAGTAATTGCACTTCATTTTCTAAATTTGGAGTCAGTTTTGAAGTACATGGGAAAGAGCTGTATTATTACAATATTACTGTATCAAATAAGATCTTTCCTTCCAGAGACCTCTCTCATTTACTATTTTCCAAGTTCCAATTTTTCAGTAGGCGCAAAGGCAAACAAATGCAGTGGCAAGGACGAATTTTGATGAATTGAAATGAATGCCCTCGATTTTAGCACATGCTGTTTTGTTGAGGAGGGAGACTAAAAAAAACCAAGGAGGGATAAGAATGGGTATGTTCTTACAACTACTTTGAGGAGTAAATATGGGATGCACAATTGGGATAAGTCCTTTACTTTCGGATAGAGCTGAATAGTTTTGTATTTGAGATTATAGGTTTTCCCATTTAGTTAACTTCAACAGCGATGGAGAAATAACCATTACTAGCTAAGCAGAGAAATAATGCATGAGGCATAATGATATAGGCCAAAATTTTATTTAATTCAAAAGTGTAATCCATGGAGGCTCTGCTGGATGTAAGGTCAATGAATGTATAAAGAAGTATGTAGAGATTAAGAAACAGAGCAGAAAATGTTTATCTCAGTGGTTTTATTACCCACTTATTTTAGTTGGAATATGTTTTAGGTAGTTTGTCAATCAGACATCAAGAGAGAGAAATTTTACACGTAGAATTGGACAATTTTTTTTTTTTTTATCAGAATCCCGGATATGCCACAGGCAGTTAGATTGTGATATGGAAATATTGAGAATTGAAATGGATGCTACATGAGAAATTATCCTGAATTCTTAAATTCATGGGTAAGAATGGAGTCTTTGTTACTTTTTTTGGAGGTTGATGAAAAAAGTATGTTTTATAACTCAACCGAGAAAAGAAGAGTGTGTATTGGAGACAAGAACTTGTACAGTTAAATAACTCAATCTGTGCGATACAGTATAGCTGCTGACTAGGGACTGAAGACACAGACTGTCAGATGGAAGGGTTGACCAAATTATTCACAAATGCTAGGAAACTCAAGAAGTAAGGAAAGAAAGAAAGAAAGGGAGAAGTGAAGGAGAGGAAGGTGAACAAAGAGAAAAAAGTGAATGAACAGAGGAGAACTACAATGGATTGTATTAAGGCATAATTATCGTGGAGTTTTGATACTAGCTCGTCACTAGGGAAAAATGATGCTCTTTACGCAGGGTTATATAATTTACGTCTATAATTATTTGGATATGGGATAATCTAGGAACAAAGAATACAATAAAATTATGTCTACTGGAAACTGTAGGAAATCTTTTCTAGCTTAAGCGGTACTTTGTGAAGAAAGATATAGGGACTCTATAAGTTTATCTTTTAATCTAGTTTTTATCCCTATTTTAGCATGTTGTACTTACTTAAAAAAAAAAGTAACCTACAACTGACCCTTGATTTAGTTTCAAATCCATACTCTTTCTCTTTATTTCTCCACTGGACTCTGTACTTATCATATCTCAAAGCCAGTCAAGATCTACCTGCTTCTTGAAGGTTTCCATCTTATGTGAGATGAGATATAATACTATTCATAAACCTATTGCCAAATATGTTTTTTATTATTTATTATGTTCTTTCTTGACATGTAAGATAACAGAGATAGTGTCTTCACATTTAGAAAATGTGTACAAAACACACAGCATAATGTGCCGCATCTATGCTTTGTCCAATGAATATTAATTGATGTTGATGAGTGAGTACATGTCACTAACAAGAACCTCCTTCAGAGGCATGAAGATTTTTATGAGCTGGAATGATGCCTTGTTGTGGTCATTCCGTATGCTTAGGAAAACTGAAGAGAGGGTTTTTCTTTTTAAAAGCAGCATCACTAGTGAATTTAGCATGACATGTGCATTCCTTGTACTGATTATTCAAGAGTTTCTTAATTCAGAAAGTTTTTAAAAAGTTAAAAATATAGACTATAATGTATATATATCTATATACACACAGAGTATATGTGCATACTGGGCAATATGGAATTTAAAATAAGAAATGAAAAGATACTATTTCTACTTTAAGAGGAATCAATCTATTTGGGCAAAAGAAATGAAAATCTTTAAAATTGTTTATTTTATGTTCAGCATTCATTCATCAATAAATATTTATAAGATACCTACTAAATACAAGGATGAAGAAGGTGCCATTATATCCTCAGAAAGCTTTTAATCTGCTGGGTTAAAGACAACCACAATACAAAGTAGACTGTTATTTTTACAAGAGAGCCAAAAACGCTGGAATGAAAGTAACAAAAACATCTAACGTTGAAGAGTCCTTATTATGTGTCAGGCACTATATGATGTATTTCAGGTGTGTTGCCTCACTTAATCTTCACAACAACTTTGTGAGTTACAGGTACTCTTACTTCCTCCCTCCCTCCACATGCACTTTCCAGATGAAACAGCAGAGAACTATACATATTAATAAGTTACCCAAGGTCACACAGCTGGGACATGGCAGAGGTGGGCCTGTGAACTGAGTCTGACCCCAGAGCTGGGATGTCAACCACTATACTCCACTGCCTCCTAGGGGATGGGGAGGGAGAAATCGCCTCTGATTGGGGAGGGGTCAAAAATGGTTTCTTGAAAAGCGGTGCCTTGATCTGGGTCTTAAAGGAAGGGCAGGACTGTGTGGCAGGTAAAGTATGGGGAGAGAATGCCAGGTAGAGAACAGTTGTGGAGGGGGCAGAACTCAGGCTTGGGTAACACAGAGCCTGGTGGGGCATTGGGAGTATACAAAGGATGCAGTTGAGAGGTGGGGCAGGTGGGGGCTAAAAAGAGGAAGGCCGAGGAATCTGGTTAAATCCAGTAGGAGCTAAGTATAAAATAGAGGAAAAGATTTGTAATAAAAACTGAAAGAATGAACATTAGTAATGGGTAATCATTATGAGGAGAGTTTCAATCAGCAACGCCTTATTAGAGGGACTGGATTTTAAACTAGGGTTTGAAATTGATGGGAATGGAGTAAAAAGCATGCCAGCAACCAAGAGTATCCTGATTTAAATAGGACACTATAACCTAAGAAAAATGAGGAAAGCTCATATTTTCATACATTCAAGGACTGCTGAGGGGCAGATTGAATAAGTGAGTTTCCACCTCTCACACCTAGAAGAGGGGTCTAGAAGTATTTCCCCCATTAGCTCCATCTCAGTTAATGGCTTACCATCCACTCGGCTGTTTAGGTAAAAAACACGACAGCTATTTTGGCTCCCTTTTCTTCCTCTCACTCTGAGATATGTCCTGAATTTGCCCTGCTTTGCTTCTTCACTAGACTCCCGAGAGAGCTGACACTCTGCTGTTTGCAAGCCTCCATCAGATCAAGTCACTTCCTTGTTTCATACCCTCCAAAGGCTGCCCATTGCATTTGGAATAAATTCCACCCTCCACGTCCCTCAATTTCTGGGCTTACCTTATTTTGCTTTGCATTATGCTTCAGCCTTCCCACCTCCTTTCTGTTCCTTGGACTCACCAGGCTCATTCTCACTGTAGAGCACTTTTGTTCTTTTTCTGTTTTTGTTTGACTGGCTCTCTCTTCCAGCAGAAAATCAGCTCAAATATCCTAGCCTTAGAGAGCCCTTCCCTGGATGACCAATTTGAAATGTTATGTCCATCACTGTTTTCTTTCCTCATTTGTTAAGAAGCAGGTCACTGTCTTCATATTTAGAAAATTTTATCCAAATTAGTCTTTATCCCTCTACTCAATTATATTTTCTTCATAGTTCTTACAATTTCCAGAAATTACTTAAAACAATATCTTTCTATTTCTGTCTCTCTCCAGGAAAGTTTTGGCTCCAGAGGACAGGACTTGGTTTTTCTTATCCAGGGACGCAAATTCAGTGCCCAGCAAAGAGCTGTGAGTGTAGCAGGTGCTCAATAAATCCTTGTTAAGCAGATAAAGAATGAATGAAAAGAGTGGGAGTGAGGATGGCTTGAGTAATGGGTGGAAGCTTATGTTTTATCCATTAAATGAAGTAGATTGTGGAATAAGTCATGTGGATAGTTTTTCTAATTATGTTTTCTATTTCAACAATTAACCAAGTTGCGTTCTTCTTTGCATACCAGCTTATTAATGGTGGGTAGGTGGACTAAAAGCCTTTTGTGTTGCAGGAGGAAAACAAGCCTGAGATTTAAAAGAAAAAAAAAAGGTCTTAGTTAATCCACAGGGTGGGTGAGAGCTCAGCCAGAATGCTCTTTGGAATCCAGACAATTCATTGACAGTAACACTCGGGTACAAGTGTTGGGGAGGTCAGATGAGATGAGTTTGTGACATGTGCAGTCACTCTTGGTGTGTTTGATTTCCGACAGTATTTCGTGCTGACATTTCAATTTGAATGGGAAATGACCTCCTTGTTCCCAGTTCCTTTTCTAGCCAGTATAGGATTGCTCCTTCGATAAATATTGGTAGATTTTGTTCACCATGGTTCCCCAGGATCTTCACAGACAGAGTTTACACGTTTATTTTCTAGTAGAAATAGTGATTTCAAGGCAAGGAAAAGGGTGTAGGAACTATTTAATTTTACTTTTTAAAAGGAATACCTTCCTGGCAAATAAGCAAGTAAATAAGCAAGCCGGCTCAACAGCTTCCTTGGAAGAGTCAGCAGCGGCAGGGATGGGGGAATTCCTTTGGCCAGCCTTAGCTTCCCCATGCTTTTCTCACACTTGTGTTGGCACAGTTGGTGGAGTTTATTATTAGCGGTGTATCCTACAAGCCATTCATTCATGGAATATGGCCCTGGGGGAGGACTCTTCGTGTGAAAATAAAATTGTCCTTGTTTTTCATTCACTTGGGGGCATCTCACATAATGGAAGAACATCCTTAAATAGAAAGACCTCAATTCAGAAAAAAAGAATCGAAAGGTGAGGAGAGAGAGAGATGTTCTCAGTGGAATCAGCTTGAGCTGAAAAATTAAGATTTTGTTTTGTGCAATGCTAGTGCCTTGCCAGTCTCAAGCTGGCACTGTGGGCTCGCTGGAGCTGCTGAGCCCGAGCCGAGGCGAGGAGACAGTTTGCTTCGATTGTATTGCTCAGCCTCACCGTGAGTCTCAATATGTGTTTGATTTTGTGTTTTAAAAATAAGGTGAACGATCTCGAAACGAAATCATTGCAGGCGATTTTGTTCCCTGCTTTTTCTAATGGACAATTAAAAAGCAATCCTGGTCCTATTCCAGAGATTTTCTCATTTCTTAGTGCGACTGTAATTTAGCACATATAATAGTGCGCTGGAATTATTAGATATTATCAGGTTTATTTGCGAAAATGTGTGACACACCTTCTTTGTATTCTTTTTGAGGAAATGTCCTGGAATGTCCTAGTTCCTTTTTGTGCCTGTCATACGGTGTATGTTAGAATTTAAGTCCTTAGGAATAAGAATAGCATTTCTTTTTTTTGTGGGAAAGCGTAATGATTTTGAGCTTTGAGGAGTTTCAATGGACTATTGTTGCCTTTTTTTTTTCACAACGCTCCTACCCACCAAGTCCCACTGTGACACACTTCCTACCCCCAATGGCAGATATTTATATTTCAAACTAAATGAAACTATAATAAATTTTCTTCTGAAAAATTTTTGGAATTTTGTCTTTGAGATCTATGAGGTAATTGGAGAAACCCCAGGCTATCAGAAAACCAGGGCTGGGAATCACTGCTTTCATGATTAGCACTTTGTAAGCCTTCAAAAATTATTAAAACCAGTATAGATTGTCTAATTTCTGGTGGGTGAATTCACTTTAGTATAATGTAACGTGTTAACAAATGTTCAGAGAGGACGTTGTGGATCCAGAAAGATGGCTTTTGCAGAAGGCTTTTATCCAAATTAATTCAAAGAATAACAGGAGTAGTTGTGTATCGGGGCAGAAGGAATAAGGTGACTCAATTAAATGATTGAGAAATCTCCAGGAAAAAAAAATGTCTCATGTCAACCCAATACCAACAATAGAATTCTCATTACTAAAATCAATAATCCTGTAATAAATGTATAATAACTTCAAAAACGATTCTTTTATTAAATATTTTTGTATGATTGGCTATGCACCAAATATTGAAAGCAAATACTGCTTTTCTTTACTTTAAGGATGACCAAGTTCTCTTCTATGTCTCTAAGAGAATCTCAAGTGAGAAGGGTCCAAAGGGTAATTTGCAAATAAATTCACCTGCTGAATTTGTGCCTAGACCTACTAGATTCACCTAATTCATTTTTGGTTTTTGCTGAGCTCTAGCCATGGTGTCATACTGAGAAATTCATGCCAAGTTCTCCTGGGTTGCTGGAATGTGAATAAGGAAGGGTAGCTCAAGCCCCAGGCTTTGGGTCCCCCTCAGTGGGGGTCTTTGGAGTTGGTCTCCGGCAGTGCCTGAAGAACCTTGGTCTGGCTAATTGGTACTGCTAGTCTGTTGCCATTTCACGAAGCCAGAAAAGCAGTGTGGTCCCTTTCCACATTCAGAGTTGAGCCCAACACACTAGTAGTCCTGGACTGAGAGAGTTCAGTTTCCGTCAATTTTGACACTATCACTTAGATCGGCTTTTAGAGGTAGATTAAGGACATTTCTGTAGTGTTCACAGATATACAATTCACGGACCTACAACTGTATATGCAGTTTGAAAAGAAATTTGCTTAAGTAAACAGGTAGATGGAGAGAGGATATGCTGTCCTGAAAACACTTCTGTTTTGTCATTTGGCAGGGATGTCTGGTTTGGGCTTCCTGAGTTTTTGCCTGGTGTTCTGCAGGGAAATTTGCATTCCAAAAGATAGGCCAGCCTGCCTTCCTGCTTCTGAAACCTCTAGAAGGTGCTCTGATATAATAGAGGATCCCCTCAGCCTGTTTCAAGAGATAATCCCCTACCACCTGGTTACTCCAGGTCATATCTGGTTAACACTCTAGGTGTCTTGCATATATTTTCCTTATAACTTTTTCTGAGGAATAAGGGCCCTACTTCCTTTAAAAAAGGATGTCAAATATACCTTAATAAGGCTTAAAAAACAGAGAGAGAGAGTTTATCTAATGTTATTTGGAAAAGAATCTCCTTCGTTTTTTCTCTTTTGTGATATGCTCCATGATTTTTATTATTTTGGAGATTTTTTTTTATTGCAGTAACATTGGTTTATAACATCATGTAAATTTCACGTGGACATCATTACCTTTTCATTTTTAACCTTTCCTTATCTTTAGTATCGAGCCCTACAGGTACAAACCCAAGCGAAGAACTGCTTCCCACCCACAGTGATGCTGTGCTCCTGAAGGTCCCAGCCTCTGCACACTTTTCCTTTCGTTCATTTTTTTCTCACTGTAGTGAAATTTTCATTCCTGTAGTTTACCTCTTAGCTCCCCCTTATTTTTCTATTTATATCTCATATTTTAGGACTTGCTTGGAGTGCAAAATGTGTTGCAAACTTGAGAGAGAACAGAACTAGATAAGTTCATGAAATATTGCCCTTTCTTTCCTATTCTAGAATTACTTAGAACGGGAGCAATGGAACTTTTTGGATCGGTCCTGTTCTGCTTTGGGCTACTTAGGCTTCTGCTATATGGCTCAGGTCATGGGCACCAGATGCCAATGGTACTAAGGTCAAGGGTTTGATCCTCACTTGGGCTGGTTTGCTGCATACTTTTCCAATAGGTTGTATGGAGATTCAGTTCCGTCACTGCAGAAATGCTAATCATAAAGGGGATTGGTGAACTTATGAGTGACCAGGTGAATATCCAGCCCCATTCCTGCAAAAACAAAGTCTGTGCCCTACTGTCATTTTTGCATTTGGACAGAGCGTGCCACTTAAAACATGAGCTTGTTACTCAACCTCCCTGCCTCTCTGTTTCCTCATCTGTAGAATGGAGATAAGACGTGCTCCCTTTTTACCTCACCAGGACCTGTGAAGATTAGATAATGGCTGTAAAGTCAAAGGTATAAGCATTATCACGAACAAGGAGATTAGTCAACAAATGAAAAAAAATTTAAGGGACCCCCCAAAGTGTATTGCTCAATACTTTTTGAATCAATATGAGCAGTTTGCAGTCCAATCCATTCTGTTTGGTTGAGCTGCAAAAAGTTAGGTGTGAATGTTTGACCTTTCTATTTATTTGAAAGGTTAAAAAAGCTGTTTGATAATGAACATTTATATTAAGAAAAATAAAGTGGGCTTTGAATCTGAAACAGGTTTTATCTGAAAAACAAGGTGAAGACGAAGGTCTCTAGGAACATGCGTGCCACTGAGGAGTATTTGCATACATTTGATCTGCGACATGCCTCAGTGACTTTCACAGTGTACCTTGGAGTTTAAGCTGTAGCAAAGAGCCACTGCCAGGGCTCGGCAGCAGAGTTCCTTCTCTCCAGCTTTATTGTGGCACACAGCGACAACTTCATTTTTAGAATTAAAAAAAAAAAAGTCCTCTTCACTTAATTCAGACAGTGACCTGCAGGCCTCATTCCGACTGAAGGAGCCATTCAGAATACTTCCAGACAAAAGCAGGGCTTTTTCCTAGCAACCAGATCAAAGCCAAATCTCCCAGAATAGCTCGCTCCCAGGTTTCCTTTGGTGCATAGGTTCACAAGGATTCTAAGGCTCGTGGTATCCAGTTCAAACTCCTCTTTCAAACTGAAATGGAAAGGAAAACTCCTGAGGAATTCTCACAGACTCTGAAAACTGGTGAGCACTGCAAGTGCACTTAATCTTGGGAGAACACGGTGGTCATTTGGAGCATCCCTAACTTTGTTATCGCCTGCATCTGCATGTACATTCTGTCGGACTCCCACAGAATGAGGTCTCTGTTTCCTTTCTGCCAGTACCTAATATCAGCTATGCCCAGGAGCCGGCTGATGAAGACTTCCTGTTTGTTTTGAGTCACTGTTAGAGTGATAAATATACTTTAGCTTTCTGCTTAGAGAGGAAAGAAACCAGCTGCCCTGAACTAAAGAGCAAAATGCAGAAATTCCACTGAATGGCCCTGTTATCATGGAGTTTTCAAGGGCAGCATCAAAATGAAAACTATAAGCCTTGGCAAAGTAAATAATTTCCATATTAAAGCATCTTGCTGCATGCATAGTCCTAAGTTGTTTGTCTTTAATCATTTAGGCGAACGATGCATTTTTCACTCTTCTAAGACTAACTCGGCAATGTTTAGAAATTTTTAAAAATGTAAACTTACACTACAGAGTAATGGTGAGCTATATAAATAAACAATTACAGTTGTGGTTTTTTGATCTGACCACAAGCTTTTAATGCCATTTTTGCATGAACATATAATGCTTCTGGATAAACAGTAATGTTGACATTGTCAGTGGCATCCACTGTTGTATGGAGTCATTTACATACATGATTATTTGGATATAGAGTAACCCAAGAACAAAAGAATACTATTAAAATTATTTAGAACAAGAACAACAGGAAATCCTTTATAGCTTAAATAGCACTTCTTAAATAAAACTGTGGAGTTTTTGTGTTTTGATCTCATTTTTATCCTTTTGTTTTGAACAGGTCTTGGATTTGATGACTGGAGTGTCCTTTGAGTGGAATTTCTGTCTTAACTCTGCTCTGGAGGACAGCGAGTTTAGGAAGCCTTGCTGATCTGAATGTCTTGACCACTGCATTCTGGCTTCTGTCTTTTTTTTTACAGCTGAGGTTAGACTTAACTCCGGAAGTTGTGAATTGGAAAAGATGGCAGCAACTGGCACGTGCTTGGAGTGGGTAGAAATTGCTTATTTCCTCGCAGAGCTATGGGTTCTTAAAACAATTTCTAATAGCAGCAGCAGAAGAATTTACTAACAATCCACAGTGTCTTTTTTGTCCAGGATAAAGGAAATGTTTAATAAACAAATTCAAAATAAAGTTAGCGTTAACATTTTGTGCTGTCAAATTAGTGATGTGGATGTGGAGGCAGGGTGGTGTGCATTGGCCTTATGACAATCTATCTGGTCGTGTTTGTAAACTGAGGCTTGAAAATGCACATGAATTATTTCTATCAAGAAAGTTCCCCAACACGTTGGAGTCAGTGGTTGGGACATTGAGACGGGGGCTTCCTGGGTGAGAGAATCACGGTGCTAAAGGCTTGATGGAGGCTGGGTCCTTATCATTTAAAAGCTCACATTTAAAAAATTTGTGTGACATTGGCAACTCATAAAGGAGGACGTGCATTTAGAAATGCTTGACACATTAGCTACAACAAAGCCAAATATGTGTTCTCACTTTACTCACACAAGGAAGAAGAGAAAAAAACATTTTTGAACATGATTGAGGATGGAAGGATTCAAGTACTGAATAATATATTTTCTGTCATAATAGAGACCTGTATGGGCGTGAATTTAGACGGAATAGAATCAGAGAATGGCTGGATTTAGAGGAGAGGGAAGAAACTAGCGAAGCCAGCAGTTTCTGTGGGTAGCAAAGAAGGGTATAAAACAAATTTATGAGATAATTTTTATTTGCAAAGGTAGCCATGCCAGGGGACAATTTTAGTGGGTAAATTGGCCTCTGTACTTTAAGAAAGAGGTTAAAATTCGATAAAAATACATGAGATAGGGGTTTAGGTGAGTTTTTTTGTAAAATCTATCATTTAAAGTAAATTGGAACTCTAATTGGGTGGGACCTATCACTTACCAAATATAAAAAAGGCGTGAAAAAACCGCCCTTTACCTTCTTCAGTGCTATTGAATGTCAAATATCTGGTGCTGAAGTGAAACTATTATGGTCAAATTCACGCTACGCTTGTCAAGTCACCATTCTTCTCAGCAATAGTAATTGCTTAGATTGTTCAAGACTAGCTTTGGTTGTAAGGGCATATTTGTGATCCAGCCTTAAGGAATAAAAATCTGTAGGAATTCCACCTACTGATAGCCAGCGTCCATTTCTTCACGATTGAATAAGAACGTAAGAATCACACCTTATATTCGCGTATTATACTACAATTTACAAGATGCTTTCGCTTGCAACATCTTACACGATACTTGGTTGTAACTTATCCTCATTGTAAATGGGAACAGTGACAGTTTGTCTTCAGTCCTGTGCGAGTGGTGATGACTCGAGCAACGTGGTTCCTTTTAACGGGGCAGAAATATTCCTCACTCTGCCTAACAACATTTGCAGAGTGTCTTCGTATCAAACAGATGATGAAACCAGTATTTTTAAGTGTAGTAACTTGTGGAAAATTGAAACGAAAGTGTGTTCCATAGCAATTAACCCGATATCTCCTTGAGCTGATCATGACACCACATACGTGATCGCAGGAGTTTTAGACAGTTCTATTGAAGAAGGTGAAGAGTAGGCATGGAGAGTAAGGACTCTGGATATTTAGAATCATTTACTGTCTGCGTAAAGCATTTTAACAAAGAATGCATTTATTAGAAGAAATGGGGGTGGGAAGGGGGGATGTTTTTGTTTTTCGCACCTGTTTTCACACTTCTGAGGTGATAAGTCCAGCCCTCACAAAATAAAATGGCAGGTTTCACACTGAACCCACCCAGGCATATTCCTACGGTCTCCTAACTCATTTATTCTTTGAGAATAAAGAGATAACAAGATCTCTTGCGCAAACCAGTGGCTGAGAGAGGTCTCCTCCATCTTTGTTTTGCCCTCCTGTCTTCCAGATGTGTATGCCATCTTCTACATATCATGTATAGATCTCTAGAGCAATTTACTAGGTCTCCAATGGCTTTGGCTGTAGAACAACAATCTTCTCTGTCCTATTCTTAACCTTAATATTTAGTGAATTGGACATCTGAGTTCATGATTCTATCAACTGGGCTTATACACAGTTTCTATATGTCTTAGATTCTCTTGGCCACCATTTCTATCCTACTTCAGTCAAAGTCCCAAACCTGATCTTCACCATTTTTCTCCAGCTCGGTAAATGCCAACCTCGTCTATATAGGTATGGAAAAGAAAAACTATAATTCATCTTTTATTCTTTATTACCTTTACCACCCTATATCCAATGCATCAGTAAATCTTATATTTTTGGTATCCTGAGTATATCTAGTACTTTGCCAAGAGCCACCATCATCTCTTGCCTTGATACGCTAAGAGCCTGGACCTCATCTCTTTGCTGTATATTCTCTTACATTTTCTGTGTTATTTTCTACATATTACTTCCTGAGACTCTGTTTATTGATTTGCTTCCTTTGTGATTTTCTGACTCTGCTGCCCCTTACCACGATGTAAGTTCCAGGAGGGTAGAGAAATTGGATATAGGGTACACTCTGTAGCACATATAATTGTGCCTGCAACATTGTAGGCTCTCAATGAATATTTGTTAAATAAATTAATATTTTCCTACACAGACTGGAAATATTGGTCACAAAGAAGGTAAGAGAAATTCTTATGCTCACGAGATTAGTTAGTAAATCTTCAACTAGAACTTAGGTCTCTTGACTCTTAGTCTAAAGCTTTTGTACCATACTGTAGTGTTATAGTTATTATTGTGTAAGATTGTATGATATAGTCTTAAGGAATGCAGTCCACATGGCTCCACGCTTGTACTGTGGGGCTGTCTGGAAAGTGAGGAAACTAATTAAAAGATCAGTAACTAAGTGGCTGGTTAATGTCCAAGACAGACCTGTTGTACCCGATTCTACTCTTCAACAAAGTTTTAGTATACCATCTATGGCAGGTAATTAGCTTTAAAGACCCCCAAATCTTTAACCTTCTGGATGATCATTCAATACTGTTTTAGTTGTAATGTCACCTTCAAACATAGAACCATTTAATTTTTAATGCAGTTCTTCCTTTTGTCTCTGAGAAGTATGTTTCTGCCTTGCTAGGCATATGTTTCCTCCTGAACCTGTGTTTTGGATCTAATTTTTCTAGCCTCTTCTGAGGTCTTGTTTATTCAAACAATTGCAGCTCTTTTCTGCACCCCTAGCTCTTCCCTCTTCACTGCCTTCATTTGCACGGTAGTGCACAGGCTGCAGAACCTGTTGACCTCAGTTTGAACACGTTTTTTTCACTTACTAACTGTTTGACAGTGGGCAAATTACTTAATTTCTCTGAACCTTGATTTCCTCACCTATGAAATGGGGATAAGGAAGGGCAATTGTGTAGATTAATTAAGAAAACATATGTAAAGAATCCCTGACAGAGTATGCACAAAATGGTAGCTATGAATGTTATTATAAAGATAATCAGATTTTCCTTATCTGAAAAAAAGCATTAACATAAATGAAAACACCATCCCCAATTCTCTCAGCTCTATTATCCCTAAATAACCCTTCTGTGCTCATCATTTATATTCATGGCCAAAATTCTTGCAAAATATGCTTTATATTTATTCCCTTCCCTTCTCATAATACTGTTATATCTGAACAGACTGAGAAGTGTGTGCTGTCTAGTGTCAAATGTTACACTCTTGATTTTTCTATGCAAACTGTGGTTATTATTAGAGATTTTCTATTTCTCATGTGTCTGTATTCTTTCATTGCATCATGAGTCCCAGTCCTTCAGGAGAATGAGCAAAAGTTCACCAAGCCAAACTTGTGGCCCTAGAACAAGAATTTCTCCTAAATGTCCTACTGTGTTCCAAATATTATTGGAAGAACTATGGAGGCAACATGAAGCATTGAATACCCTAATTGGGAAGTGGGTTAACGGACAGAGTTTCAGTCAAGATGAACGTAATTAAGAATAAAGAGAAGTGTGCAATCGTTTAAGAGAGAGAAAATAGAAATTTAGAGAGAGCTTAATTGCTAGTATAAGAATCGGGTCTCGTGAGGAGATTCTTTTCAGGGTGATGTGCCATTTTCTAGAGCTAACAGTGCTACTGGAAGCTGAGTCTGAAGGGGGAAACTCATAGGAAGTTAGTGGACGAGAGTGAGCCAGTCACCATAGCAAAGAAAAGTGAAAAGTGAACAGTCCTCTTAGCACTGCCAGAGAACTTTGTCATTGATTGGGTAGATCTGTCTCTGGAAAGAGACTTTATCCAAGGACCATGAGGGACACTGGGCAGCTGACTCAGAGGGACAGTAAGGAATAACTTAATAGGTTTATTTACTTTCTTTCTTTAATTAAATGTCCTTCTGCTGCAAAGTAACCAGAGTTCTTGCAAGTGTAGTTTCCAAGTATCTACGGTTGGGCTAAAAACCAAAGACAGGGAAAGCTTCTAGAAATTCACCCAGCCTTATCTTGGACTTCCCAGCCTCTAGAACTGTGAGAAATAAACAGGTGTTGTTTAAGCCAAAAAAAAAAAAAAAAAAAAAAGAAATTCACCCGGGTTCTCAGGACCACAAAAGTCTCTCGAAAAAGGAAGGTTACCCAAAAATAGAACTCAAACAGCATCCCAGGCTCTGCTCCAACCTACCGCTCTACCCTCGAATACTTAGTACCCTAGCTAGTCAAGCACAACCACCAGCTTCATGTTGACTCAACTCATACTTACTGAATAAAATAGCTACCACATCTTTTCTCCTAACAATGATCCTTTTTGAGAAGAGTTTCAAATATTTTATTTTAGTTGGAATACTACAAAAGGTCAGTTACTGAAAATTAAATTGGGTCAATCTTAATCAGACTAGGTTATCTCCAGGTTGTATGTGAATCATCGTGGACAAGCCTCTGAGGTGTCTTGGTATATGATCCTTCAAGGGTTTCCCTTGCAACTAGGATGAGTTTGCTTGAATAGAGAATCTTTCTCTTTCTATTTTTTTTTGTATTATATTTATCATCTTCTTATCTTCACTATGTGCCAAACAGTTTTCCATGGAATGATTTATTCTAATAATTAAAAGAAGGCAATATTCTTTTGGTAGGTGACTGTTTTGTCTGTGTTATAAAATATAATTTGCTTTTTTTCTTTGTACCATTGTTCCAGGAAAGATTCATCTTTAATTAGTTTGAGGTGTACTGCGGCTTACCTTTGTCTCCAAGTAAAAGATTTTTCTTTTTCAAAATCAGATGAATTCTGAGTTGACAAGTTAAAAAATCTGCATCTGCAATAAGATTAAAAATGCTAAGATTTTCCATTAAGAAGTTGCTTTTAAGTTGCCATAATTTAGCACTTCAGGTACTGAACACCTATTAAAGAAATGCTAGTTTGCATTATGCTAAATGTAAATAAGATGATTCACTTTCTCCATCTCTTTCTCTATATTTATTTTTAATCCTGTTCTAAAGCAGGAACTGGACCAAATGAAATTAAAGTATTCTTTTGGTATGATTGCTCTAATATTTTTCAACAAGCTGAGTATGACTCACAGCCTATCCCCCTTTTATTAGTAATTAAACTGAGACACTGAAAAACTATGGAAATGCATAATAGCAGATTAAGTATCAAAGCTGTAGCCCACTGAACAACACTGCTATGTTTAAATTTGATACTTTCAATATTGTCCTCAAATAATTTAAATATTTAACATTATAGGATGGCAACACAAAAGTAGAGTAATTAAAAACAGTCATTGAATTTTATTTTCATTTTTGTTGGAGAGGGGTTTTCACTTTGA